AATCCGGCTGAGCCAACCCAATACAACTTGTGACACAGTGAGGATGCAGGAAAGAGGAGATAAGAACTCTAGACACAATTAACTATTAAAAACTTTAGTTAAGCCTGATTTGTATAACTTTGCATGGGAAGGTTGTCCTGGTCAGTTGACACTGTGTTATGAAATTGAACCTGGGTTGGGCTTAAAGACACGATCGCAAGCCATTATGAGATGCAAAACGTATGTGGGGTGGTATTGCATGGTGTGGTTTTCCTCAGGAATTATTCTGGAGCCATGAAAGTTCAGAGAATCTACCCCAGGAAAACTAGACTCCTGTGAGATTATTTGGTCTATCATTAAAATTCTGAATTTGCTATGCAGGAAGTAAGGAACAGTGCAGTTTGTGTGCACTAAGTGTTTGAACAGTATGCCTGTTTGAATTACAAATGACAAGGTAAAAGAAATTGTTAGATTGAAAAATTCAAGCCTGACTTTAGTCATTGGTAGCAGGTGGTAGTAGCAGGAGGAATCTTAGCCGTGTTTAGATGTGCCACTGCAGAAGACTTTTATGTCTGAAGTGATTTAGTGCCAAAAGAACAATGTTTCAAAAAGTAACCCTCTTTTAATCTGTTTGTAAAACAGATTGAAAACAGTGTTAGAAAAGCACTGGGATGTTACATTAAGGTCTAATAACCTTCATAGCGTAACTTTGTATGACCAAGACATGGTGGAGTTCAGGATCTTGTGCGGTAGGAACAGAATACCAAGCAAGATTGCAACCCCGGACTTCAGCAGGGCCAGCTTTGGCCTTTTCGAGCAATTGCTAGGGGAAACCCCATGGGACAGGGTACTAGAAAGCAAAGGGGCCCGAGATAGTTGGTTAATATTCAAGGCCCACTTCTTCCAAGCTGAAGGTCAGTGCATCCCAACAGGTAGGAAATCAGGAAAGAGAGCCAGGAGACCCACATGGTTAACCAGGGATCTGCTGGGCAGACTCTGTAGTTCTTGGAAAGAGGAGCTGGCCACTTGCATGGAGTATTAAGACTGTGGTCAGAGGGTGTAGGGAGGCAACTAGGAAAGTGAAGACCTTCTTGGAATTAAACCTTGCAAGGGTGGTCAAGGACAACAGAAAGGGCTTCTTCAAATACATTGCAGACAACACTAACACTAGAGACAATGTAGGCCCACTGCTGAATGAGTGTGTGCCCTGGTGACAGAGAATACAGAGAGAGCAGCGTTACTGAATGCCTTCTTTGCCTTTGTCTCTACTGCTGGAGACTGTCCTCAGGAGCCCCAGAGCCCTGAGGCCCCAGAGGAAGTCAGGAGAAAGGAGGAGTCTGCCTTGGTTGATGAGCACTGGGTTAGGGATCGGTTCGGCAATCTGAACATCCACAAACCCATGGGCCCTGATGGGATACACCCGCCGGTACTGAGGGAGCTGGGGGAAGTCATTGATAGGCCACTCTCCATCATCTTTGGTAAGTCGTGGCCAACAGGAGAGGTGCCTGAGGACGGGAGGGAAGTGAATGTGGCCCCAGTCTTCAAAAAGACCAAGAAGGAGGACTCAGGTCAGCCTCAGATGGGTCAGCCTCACCTCCCTCCCTGGAAGGGTGATGGAACAACTTATCCTTGGCGAGGATAAGAAGGTCATTAGGAGAAGTCAGCATGGTTTTGCCAAGGGGAAGTCATGTTTGACCAACCTGATAGCCTTTTATGAAGACCAGGTGGACAGATGATGGCCATTCAGTGGATGTGGTTTATCTGTATTTCAGTAAAGCATTTGACACCGTCTCCCATAGCATCCTCGTAGCTAAACTCAGGAAGTGTGACCTGGATGATCAGGTAGTGAGGTGGATTGTGAACTGGTTGAAGGAAGGAAGTCAGAGAGTTGTGGTCAAGGGGACAGAGTCCAGCTGGAGGCCTGTGTCTAGTGGAGTCCTTCAGGGGTCAGTATTGGCACCAGCACTATTCAATGTATTCATCAGTGACCTGGATGAGGGAACAGAGAGCGCTGTCAGTAAGTTTGCTGATGACACAAAACTGGGAGGAGTGACTGACACACCAGAAGGCTGTGCTGCCATTCAGAGAGACCTGGACAGGCTGGAGGGATGGGTGGGGAGAAATCTTATGAAGTTCAACAAGGGCAAGTGTAGAGTCTTGCACCTGGGAAAGAACAACCCCATGTGCCAGCACAGGCTGGTTGGAGAGCAGCATAGGGAAAAGGGTCCCGGGGGTCCTGGTGGAGAGCAGGATGACCATGAGCCAGCAATGTGCCCTCGTGGCCAAGAAGGCCAATGGCATCCTGGGGTGTATTAGAAGGGCGTGGCCAGTAGGTCAAGGTTCTCCCCCTATACTCTGTCTTGGTGAGGCTACATCTGGAATATTGTGTCCAGTTCTGGGCCCCTCAGTTCAAGAAGAACAGGGAACTGCTGGAAAGAGTCCAGTGCAGAGCGACAGAGATGATGGGGTGGAACATCTCCCTTATGAGGAAAGGCTGAAGGAGCTGGGTCTCTTTAGCTTAGAGGAGAGGAGACTGAGGGGTGACCTCATTAATGTTTATAAATATGTAAAGATTGAGTGTCAGGAGGATGGAGCCAGGCTCTTCTCAGTGATATCCAATGACAGGACAAGCTGGGGCATAGGAGGTTCCACAAAAACATTAGAAAAAAAGCTTTTTCACTGTGAGAGTGACAGAGCCCTGGCACAGGCTACCCAGAGAGATTGTGGAGTCTCCTTCTCTGGAGACATTCAAAACCTGCCTGGATGCGTTCCTGTGTCACCTACTGTAGGTGATCCTGCTTTGGCAGAGGGGTTGGACTAGATGATCTTTAAAGATCCCTTCCAACCCCTAACATTCTGTGATTCTGTGAAGTATTTAAAGATAAGCAAGTATCTTTGGGTTGCTTGTGATTTAGTTTGTTTCTGGGCCCTTGCCTGTGCCAGCCCCCAGCTCACAATTTCACTTCATTATTTTATCCTCTTTTTTTGTTTTTTTTTTTTTGATTGATGTGACTGAAGCCAAGGTGTGGACATCATCTGCTACCCACCTTAGGAGTAGCTCAAGATGATACAATTTTCTACTAGCTGTTCCTGAGTTAATGCTAACTACTAGCTCTTTAGTGAAGATGAGTTTCTAAACTACGGGAAGCAGCACAGCCAAGGCAGTTCAGGTTGGAGTATAGTAATGGTCCAGCAATGTTCAGTGATACAGCACAGGGCTGTTCTAGAGAATGCAGCAGCTTGCATGGAGATAGAGCACTCCTTCCTTACCTCTGAAAAGTTGTGAAGTACCCTAAACTGGCTAAAAGTTTCCTTCCTTTCAATAGGTTTGCTTTGAATATTTTATATAAGCAGATGTAGTTTTCTGCTCGTTTTTGTATGCTGACTTCAGGAGAACTCAATAGGGTGTTACTGTTTTTTAGAGGACAGCACAGATGAGTGATGAAGATGATTATGATGGCTGTGATCTCTTTGACTCTGAAAAAGAGGAAGATGAGGATGGAGACTTAGATGAAAGCACAAAGCCTGTAAGTAATTTTTGCCTCCCTGTAGGGACAGGTTTGGCTTCCCTCATGAAAAGTCTGTCCTTGTGGGGATTATAGTGACAGCTCTCAGTTACCTGGGGTGGGATCCTGTAGAAAGGGCCTGTAAAAGTCCTGAGTGGTATTTCAGCATTGTTGTTCAGGCTTTACCCCTTTAAACTAGGGGACTCCTGCACCCTAGGCTGGCATCAAAGCTATGTTTAGAGGTGATTAAGAAATTACTTTTTGCATTTGTGTGTGGTAAATGCTTCTTGTTATGCTCTCAAAGTGAGGTGACATTAAAAATTATGTGATCATAAGGGACTAGAGGTGGCTTTTTATCTGGTAACACACACATAATGTCTTAATAGCATTCTTAATAGAAAGCTATATTGCCTTTTCTGAGGGCTTCAGTCAAAGTCTAGACAGGATATTGTACAAGTGAGGCTGTACGTTACAGTGTTTAGAGTTGCAATGGCATCAAGTTGGTAACCAAATTGTATATAAGAAATATGCTGTTATTTATCCCTGCTTCTCAGAGAAAGAAGAGGCCAACATCATTTGCAGATGAGCTGGCAGCCCGAATTAAAGGAGAAATACCAGTCAAACAGGGTGAAGAGCGTTCATGTAAGTTAATTCTTTAGTTTTGGTAAGTATTTGTGAGGTAGTTGTGGAGTTGTGAGAGTTGGACAGGACATTCTGTGTAACAGTACATGAAGCTACACAGATCTGGGTTTTTTGGATAAGTATTAGGTGAAAGCACAACAAGAAGAATTAAAAGACACTATTTTGTAAATTATGACCAAAAAGTTTCTTGGAACACAGGATTGAATTCGAATTCACTGAGTGTTGTAGTGGAAAATGCATTGCTTTCAGGTGAAACAGGTCACTCCCCAAGCACATGTATTATGGGAAAGGTTTTCTCTCCAGTCTGATTCTCTCTCTGCATGCAAAGCTGCATGTTTGTCCACATGTACTTCCCCCTCTTTCAAGTAAATATGTGGAAGCCACTGATCCCGGTAGGCTTCCTGTGAGCTTTACAGTGGAAAACCCCTCGAGCAGTAGATGGATGCTTTCACGTGGTTTGGGTTGTTTGTTTTTTCCTTTTCGTGGCTTAAGTGTACTGTGTTTTGAGGAAGTTTTCCTTGCTACTGCTTTTTGTGATGTTTTAGACTAAATACTGCATTTACTTCTGTATCACTTTCAAAAGGAGAGACCTATCTCAAGTATTTATTTTTCCAGCAAAGCAGCAGTTGAAAACAGATGGCTGAAATTGAGTTGGCAGTGCTTGTGAGCTTGCTTTTGAGCTGTAATTTTGACAGTATGAACAGACAAGAACCGTGTGTGTATGTGTGGTTCGAATAATCAAGCTAGGCCTGTGGATATCAGAGTATAAAACCTACCAGCTTACCTTGTTCAATTACAGGAGAATCTTCTGTTCTTTGAGATAACCTTGCGATAGTAAGGCCGGAGAAAATAAAACTCTGGTTTTGATTTTGGCAGCTAACTCAAGGTATAATATGTCTGAGGCCAATTGAGATGCTTAAAGGTTCTATGTACTCTGGGGGTATCTGTACCACTTGGAATGCTGTGTTGCTCTGGCAACTCAGGTGACACTAGTCTGTGTGTAGGCAGCTGTGCTGAACCCATAGTGCCTCACAGAATTATGCTATTACAATTTGAAGTGCTACTTTTAGAACCTGTGCTTTGTAGAATTGCTTCGGTGGGCTGATTCATCTGGAAACATAGGGGACAGCGTGGTTAGATTATGGTTTTTTAGGTTCTTTTTACCACAGATGGATCACAGGCTGCAAATAAAGGTGGACTATATTCTTTTTGCTTTGAAATTTTCTTCTTAAAGCTCTGTCATCAGAGACCAAAACAAGGAAAACCCTGAAAGAGAAGAAGGAAGTTAGAGTTCCATCAGATGGTAGGATATCCTCCTCTTTTGTTTATTAATTGTGGGCTGAATTGTAAGACACCACTTAGGAAACTGTGGCATCTACTCTAGCAACTGGGTGGGATATCAGCAAGCATCCTTCAAGGTGAGGCTGTAAACAAAGCTAGGCTGTGATGTGCATGTAAAACAAGGCTAGAAACAGGCTCAGTGAGAGTTTCTCCATAAATTCATTCTTGTGGGACAACCACATGCAATCTAGTCTGTCTACAACAGCTTCTCTGTATGCATTGTGTATAAGAGAGAAGAGATGGAATCAGACCAGTTGTTATTCTGGTTGTCTCTTTAATTCTCTTTCCTGAAACTTGGTGAGTCCTACCACAGCTCTTGGCTGTTGTGCTTTCTAGATGAAGAAGATGACATCTTCAAGCCTCCTAAGCTGACTGATGAAGACTTCACACCATTTGGTTCTAGGGGTGGCCTCTTCAGTGGTGGAACTGGTCTCTTTGATGATGAAGAGGTGAGAATGCTGGAGAGGACAGAAATTGAGTATGTCCCTCTTTTGAAAACAAAACAAAAGATCCCCACGAATTCCTGCCTCTGGAAGGCAGTGAGGAGAAACAGCGTTTTGTTTCTTAGTAGTATTCAAATGTAGTCGAACAGTATAACTTTCCAGTGGAGAAACAGCTACACGACTGAGGTACTTATGTTACCCTTGGCACAAAGCCCTCCCTTCTGCAGTTCTGCTGATGAGAGATGCAGCCGTGGTTCTAGCATTATACTGAACAGATTCTAATTCAAGCAGAGCTTACTTAGCACCTTGCTTATATCTGTGCAGGAAAACAAAATGCTATACAGTTTATTTTAACACAGCAGATTTCTGTTAAAATGCCTGTGAGAATACTGAATTTTGTCATTCTCTCTTTCTCCTGGGTATGGGAGAAGTCTGAGTGGAAAGAGAACATGATGGCCTTCCTGCTTTCCTTCATGTACTTTGTCCAGACAGTGATGCTATTTGGTTTCTCTCTATATATATTGTTAAAAGTTCCCTACTGCAACTATGCTGTGTTCTCCAATCTGGTTATTGCACAACTCCTGGGTTACCTGCCCTGGCAAGAAAAGTTCACCTTAAGCTTACTCTTATGCTATGTACCTAGAGCTGACTTGATGGCAGAATGGCACAGAGTGCATTTCTGGCCTTATTGTAGCATTTTTTGTGCATGTGAAAGGGAATACAAACTCAGTGTCAGGGGTACTTTAAGAACCTGGTAGTACAGCTGTGTAAAACAAATGGTTACCTCTGATTTTATCATGCAGCTGATACCGGTAACTGTAAAAACTGGTCCAGAACAGTAGCCAATCTGTTGCCTTTGTGGAATGCTGTGTTCCTCATTGCAACTAGAACAGAAGTCAGGTGTTTCTTGAAGCCGAGCAGGCTGTAAGACTGGAATTTGGAAGGAGGCCTCATGTACAGGTGACCTCAAACTTACTGTGCTAACCTACTAGGATACAGCCAACAGGCACCAAACAGGGGCGTTGTGTGAAGGGAAGATGGGAGTTCTGTACAATGCTTTCCACTCAAACATAGCCTTTATTGAAAAAAATATGAATGTGCTTTCTTTTTAAGTGGCAGCTAACAACTTTAAATAATAATAGTTTAAAGAAGTAATCCAATAGCGCAAGCCAGCTTCGTGTCACTGCAAATTCAGATGAAGCAATCATTACAGCCTCTTAGTTACTTATTGATGAGGCTACTTTTGTCATCCTGCAGACACAGGGCAGCCGAGCAGATTTGTCTGTATTTGTTGCCTGCCTGCATACACTTGTTCTTAATTTCCTGTTACTTGAAAGTTAATCATCTAGGAAGGGTAACTTATCCTCACTTGTGCAGTGGAGGAGGCCTTGCTGTACCAGAAGGCAACCACGGTAGGTCAACAGGCAAATTGTGACTGACAAATGTAAAATTAATCACTGACATCCCTGCCGCTGCCCTTGCACTCCCCTACTTTTCCCAAAGTGTTGCTGCCTTCTTTCCACAAAGCTTTATACATGCACTTCAGTCTCCAAATAGGCAACCTCTAATACCCAACTTCCTGTAAGAGGAGACTTTCAAGAAATAAAGTGGTCAGTACTCAGATCTAGAGGTTTCCTGGAAATGTAGACTATGATTCTCAGGGAGGATTATCACAGGGCAACTGCAACCCCAACACAAGGACTTTTATGAGAGTTTCCTGCAATGCTTTTGAGCTAAAATGTGCATCTCTGCACCATATTGGTGTCTTAGCATCTCCTTAACAATAATATAAATCATACATCTTAACCATGTGAAGTTTAGAGATGTTTTTATGCTTGTCCTGATCTGAATTCTTCTTTCAAACCTTGCTATATAAGCTTCAGTAGGAAAGCTTAGAAGGGTGTAACCAGGACCTAAACAGCTGTAGATTAATTCCCATAAGCCCCTGAGGAGGTGCAAATAAAAGGTCATTTCTCCTCTGCAGTAAACAGACTGATAATCAGTGTAAATTAAATTTGGGAAGATAGAAACCTACTCTTCTGAACGTGTGCACTCCAGTTAATGCTTGAGTACTTAAGTTTAAGTCTTTGTGTGCAGACATCCTTTTGAGGAGGGAGTGGTGGTTGGTTGCCTTCTCTGTCTTGGCTTACAAGTGGATATTCTGCATGGAAAAATCAGCAGCTGTCTTTTCCTACAGAAAAGAAAATCATCACTTCCTCTCCTTTGCATTTTCATCTACAGAGTGATCTTTTTGCTGAAGCACCCAGAGGAGAGGAATCAAAAGAAAGGGAGGAGCGAGCCTCAATAATTGAAGGTAAGAACCAATTGTTGCCTTCTGTATTCGTGTCTATGCTGTGATTTATCACTGCCAGCAGCTAGACTATTTTGTTTTCAAACTAGAAAGTCTATTCTCCTCTCCAGTCTTAATAGAGAGCAGCTGTGTTTTCCTTGAATTTTAAATGTTTGTTCGCTGTGATCTCTTGCACACACCTACTCTCCTGGAGCTGAAAAAATCTTACTGATGTTGGCAGAGCTCTCTGCAGGCATTGGTTTCCTCCTGCTAGAGTCTGCAGAATCCAGCTGTGGGTTGAGTAGAGATTTCTTCCTGCAGATTAATGCCTGTCTGAGTTTCTCATTAGCTGCATATCCAGACCTTTAAGGAGTCTAAGCACATGTGCTGTACTGCAGCAGCTTTTACTGAAGCATTGTATTTGATGAATTTTCATATATAGGTTGGGAGATTGAGCTAATTTTTTTAATGTATTGTATTATGCAGTTTTTAGTGTGTGAATGTAAACTCTTATAAATAATGCTATGTGTATGCGTATATCACATTTATAAGCTTTGGTTTAGTAGAGCTGTTTTGTTGAATTTTAATGGAGGAAGAATAGCTAGACTGTTGTATATACCTGCAAAACCCAAGAAGTTCAGGAAAAGTGCCTGGATGAGTTCTGAGCTGTTGAGAAAAAACCCACAAATGAGCTCAGAAGACTTCTCAGATTCCTATTACTATTGTAAAGGTCTGAAGGCTTTGACAGTGTAAAACAAGTGCATCCATTTGTATTGTACTTCCTGTGATTTCAGCATCCTCTGCAAAGTCCTTAAAGAAAGTTCCTGCAGGTGCAGTATCTCTGTTCCCAGGTATGATTCATTCGGTAACAAATTGCTTCATGCACAAAATGCTTGTTCTTTAAAACCTGCTGAGGAGGTTTTAAAGAAGAAAAATCCAAATACAGCAGCACCGCATTGCCTGATCACATGCTTAGTAACAAACACAAGTGCTTCTGCCTGTATTTGCCTAAACTGCAGCATGCTTTATGGATAATCAAGATTTGGTAGGAGCTCTGAAGGTAGGTAAAATTGACAGCAGATAGTAGCCACTGTCAGCTTCCATTGTTGTGCTGTGAGCTTTTAAGGATGTTACACAGCTTAAGTCTGCAGTGCATACAGTCACATTTTCCCTCTGTACTCTGAGAAAGAAGCTCATTTTGATCTTTCAGATTTGATCCTCTTCTCTTGGCTTAGCAGAATAACAGTCTAAACATCAAGTTCTTATATTTTTTTGGCACAGGTAAATAAGAGCAATCTTGTTTCTTCAGTTTTGATTAGGAGCACATGCATTTATGGGGAAAGACCAGATCTACAACTCGGAGTTTAAAAAAAAAAAAAGTATTAAGATCCCTGTTCAATATTGGACTCCAGGCTGAGCAATAAAATGTATCACCAGCCTTTTTGAATCAACTGACTTTGTTTTCTGTCTCTGTGCAGAGTCTTCACCTGATTGATTTGCCTTAAAATTAAGTTTTGCCCTCCATTAAGAAAAGCCTATTTTAAGATTATGGCTTCAGTTAACTGATCTCTTGGTCAGCATGATTGTTAGAATAGGACGCATACAAATACAGTCTTTTTATGTGTCCTGGGTTTGAGGCCCTAACCCATGACATTATGTCAAGATCAAAGATATACATCAGCAATGGTCATTCTATGTAGATCTAGGAGCAAAGTTTAAAAGAGCAGATTGAGGTTTGGTTTTGGTGGTTTTTTTTTTACCCTTAGCTCTTTCTTGGAGGTACTGTTGCACAAGTAGTGAATTTTCCATCATTTGAACAGTGTCCTGTTCTACTTCATCAGAAATTAAGTTATATTTAGCATTTATTGGAAGCCTTCAGTTGCTCCATCTCAGTAGCCTGCAGACAGGCTAAAGTCACCAGGCAAAGCCCAAGACTGAGATTCCTTTGCTATTTCAAGTTGCTTGGTGAACACATTCCCAGTGAACACTTCATTTAGGAACTTGAGAATGTTCAAAAATTAATCAAACCTTGTGACTGTATTCCTGTCAATCCTGTGGCACTTTTTAATTGCATAATATGCTTTTTTAGAAAATCATAACCTCCTGCTGTGCTCTCAAAATTCATGCAGTCTGTTGACTTTTAACCAAGTAGCAGTTGTTCTTTCTGCCAAACTTCCAATTAAAGTCTCTTCTTCCTCTGGCAGCCAACCACCCCCATGCTCCCCCACTCCCTACACTGTTTCAAGGTGTCTATACATAAGAAGAAAAAGTGCAGGTTTGGAACCAGGCTGCTGATTTTTACCTAAAATGCTAAAAGCATTTGCAGACGATCTAGTGACATGCATGTATCACTAAAACTAGACATTTCCACACCAGATGTAGGAGAAACAGTTCTTACAGCTTACTCTAGTTCATCCCAGCTGTTCTGAAGCTCGTAGGAATCTAAGGGCCAAACTCAGCCTCATCCTGCAGTACTGCCAGTGGTCTTGCATGACAAGTGCAGCTCCTTGGTAGAACTCAGTCACTTATTTTTCCCCTCTCTTCAAGTACCTTACCACTTTTATTTGACCACAGTGATGTGACTTACTAGTTAGTAAAGTAGGATTCTGGTTTGTAAGGTCTGTAGGGCCAACAGTGTGGGACTACTGGGTCTTCTTGCTTTAGTGGGGAACCTGGCTGCTGTTCCTGGGTGAGATGAACAAGTTTGAGGAAGAAGTGATTGCAATGAGAGCAAAAAGTCATCTTGGCTTTATCAGGAAGTTTCTAGCTAATGCTTTTGATGCAGCATTGTTGCAGGAGCACATGAAAATTTACTGTGATGGAAACTCTGCCTGGCTCCACTTACTATGGCATAAGTTCAGCTTTTTGGTAACTCTGGCAATGATCTCTGTGTGATTTTGGTTTGTGTGTGTTTTACCCATCTGACCTGCAGGAGGAAGTGATGTGTTTAGTTCCACTGTAACTGTGGAAAAAGAAAAGAAATCTGCAGCACAGGGCACAGAGAAAACTTGTAAACAGTCTGGAAAAGTTGTTCTGTTTGATGATGACGATGATGACTTCTTTGTGGGAGCAACTAAGAAGCCTCCAGATTCAGGTACCTCTGTACATGTACGCTGGAAGATTAGACATTAAAGGTCATCAGAAATCAAATTGATAGCAACCAATGATTTACAAAACTCAAACCTGCATTACTGCTACTTCTGCTCTTTTTTGAGGGTTCAAAGTTTTTTTGTTTTGTTATTGTCATGTCTTTTCCTTGGAGTGGTGTGGGATTGGTTTATCTGTATGTGCTGTCTGCTGACTTTCCTGTCTTAGCATGCTCCTTCTACTGCTAGGGTGGTATCTAGATTTGAATCAGAGAAGTGTTACAGACTTTATTCACGCAGCCTTGAGTCCCCATGCCCAACACTCCCTATTGGCAGGCTCAAAGCCTTTAGAGGGGCCAAGCCAATGCAAATGTCTTTAGAGGTGCAGACTGACCCTACCCTAATGTTTGCTGACTGCACTCTCTGTCACCAGTGCTCTCACGTAAGTGGTGTTTCACTTTGAGAGCTTGTCTAGCTTTTTCCCTTAAAAAATCACGATGTTGGTCATCTTTAAAATAGAAACACGGTATCTTTTGACACTGATACTGTTCAGTAGTGTCTGTTCTGTTCTTGTCATTCCCTGTTTGTTTTGTGTCTTAATGAAGTCAAGTCCACAGCTGACCTGTTTGATGATGATGAAGAAGGTGACTTATTCAAGGAAAAACCTGCCATTCCTCCTGTGGTTTCTGGCACAACTAAAGAAACACAAAGCCATAGGGAGACAGTCATGGAAAAAAAGGTAATGGCGTATAAATGGATAGTGTGGCTAAGGTTTTAGGAAAAACTTTACTACTGCAGCTGAAGTAGTGTTTCCATGTACTACGAAAGTGCCATATTTGTGAAACAGGACAAGGTTCATAAGGTCTTCCATGACGTGTTTCAGGCATCCATAAATGCCTTCTGTCTTTCAAACAAAAATTTGAGATTTTTCCTGTGGAACCAGAGACTGGAAGAATCTTATTAAGGCGACATTGCAATGAGAGTAAAATGAGAAGCTTCATTTAATATATAGATAATAAATGTTTGAGGTTCATGGCCGAAATGAAACCAGCCTGACTTAACAACCTTTGGTGCCACAGTTCTGTGCTGCAGAGACTGTGTCTGCACTTACACCAGCTGCTGGTAGCAACTTAACTGGTGACCCATGACATCCAATGACAGGACAAGGGGCAATGGGTACAAGCTGGAACATAGGAGGTTCCACAAAAATATTAGGAAAAACTTTTTCACTGTGAGGGTGACAGAGCACTGGCACAGGCTGCCCAGAGAGGTTGTGGAGTCTCCTTCTTTGGAGCATTCAAAACCAACCTTGTTGAGTACTTCTGCGATCTACTGTAGGTGATCCTGCTCTGGCAGGGGGGCTGGACTAGGTGATCTTTTGAGGTCCCTTCCAACCCCTGACGTTCTGTGATTCTGTGACCCATTGCTTGTAGATGTTATCGGAGAGGAAGGGGGATGTGACAGTATTACCTAAGCATATACAGTACTTGACAGTGTTTAAAAAGCTGTTTTTCAGCTGAAAACTTGTAAGTTGTAGAAAGATTTAAATGCTGTCCTGAAGACGCATATACAGAGTTAAGAGAACCTCCGCATGCTCACTCCACATTCATTTTCAGAGCAGTGTCTTGAGGAAAGTTGTAATGCTCTCTGTTTCTATGGCAGAGATTATATATACTCATTTCATATGTATTCGCTGTCCAAGGAGTATTTTAACATAATGAGCTACAGCGACTCCTCTCCCCTCTGGATTGAGAAGCTTACAGTGCTGGGGATGACTAATGCAAGTTGCTGTAGGACTTACCTTACAAGAAGTACCAGAGCACAAGGGCCAAAGCCACGTTCTGTCTCTGGTGCAGTGCAAGAGTGTCCATGGTCAATGGAGTAGGAGTGGTGGTGCGAGGTCATCAATGCCATTGCTCTGATCTCATAGCACTTGGCTTTCCTGGAAGAGAGGATGAGAACTGATTTAGCAGCACCACTCCTGCTCTGTCAGGAAGTGAGAGAATACTCCAGGCTTGCTGACAGTAGTGCTTGGGTCTGGAATCATTCTGAGTTTAATGGCAATATAGCTGGTGGCAGGTTGGGACCGTGCTGTGCTAATGCAGGAAATGATGGCTGGCACAATCTGCCCTCTTCCTTTATGAAACACAGCTTGTTAAAAAAACATTCTAATGTAACTCATGAGGGGGCCTGGCATGAGTTGCTGGGTACATTTTTTCTGCTGAGAAGATGGTGGTGGGCGGGGAGGTCTATGGTAAGACTTGCAAGTCACTCATGCATAGCTCTGGCTGCATGTGAAGAACTCCGCACAGGAGTTTTGGGCTTAAGCCCATGGATAGCAGGCTTGCGTTCTGTCCCTTAGTTGTGGGGATGTTGCCAGCAGCACGCCTCTTGGAAAGGGTCATGTGATGTGGCTGCACTTACTGGATCTAAACGGGTGCTGATGCAGTATCTTTATTTGTTTTAAAGAGTCAGCCATCTTCAGGTGAGGACTTCAAGCCGTTATCTGAAACACCTCCAAGAAAGCAGAGGGGCCTTTTCTCTGATGAGGAGGATTCTGAAGTGAGTATGTCTTTAGTAAATCCCTACAGAAATCCTTGAGATTTGAGTCACCCTGGCTTCACTCCGCTCATATCTGGGGACTCCTTGTTTATCTGTAGGACTAGGAACTCTGACATCCATGTATCTATATGCTGTTGAGTCATAGGCTGATCTCAGAGGTCTTTTCCAACCTCAACAATTCTGTGATTCTATTCCCAGCCATCCTGAAAGTTCCTTCTTCCTTCAAGAATAAAATCTCTGGGAAAGTTTTCCCTGTCTTCAGAGAGTTAAACTTGCGTGGTACATGCAGGTGTACATTGATAAGCCGAAGCAGGCTTCAGCAAATCAGAAGCAAGAGTCACAAAAGACTGTATGTTTAACCTTGTTTCCTCAGCTTCCAGCTAGAAATTAATCTACAAAACTGAGGGAAAACCCCATGGAGATGCAAGTGATTGGAACACCCGAGTTAAGACAGTCTTTCCCT